GAAACTACTAGCCCAGGGGTTTGCAACCTTAAACACGGAAACAGCCATTTGGACCAGTTTCCCATGGTGGGGGTGGGGAGGATCAGGAGCCACAAAACTTCGGTGGGCATGGCCAACTCGATGTCACTCATTCCACCCAGTCACATGACCCCCTAGCCATGCCTACACAGCCACAAAACCCTTCTCTATGTCTCTCTCTCTCCCCCTTTCTGTATATCTCTGCCCCTCTCTCTCCCTCTCCCTATCTTCCCCTCTCTCTGTGTCTCTCTATGGCTCTCTCTCCCCCGCCACCCGTCTGTCTCTGTCTCTGAGAAGGCCGTGGGTGGGCAAAACCTGCAAGCTCTCCTTGGGCCTGTTCGCCACCCTTTTTATTTCTTCTATTTGGAAATTCGGGCTGGCTGAGGAACGATCGCCAGCCATGGTGGAGGCTTCCCTTCAGGTGACCCTCCTCCACCCCCTCCTTCTCCTCTTGTGACCCCTTGGCCGGCTGTGGAGGGACCAAAAGGGTGCGCATGCACAGGGAGATGTTCCTCAAGCAAGCGCCAAAGCCCAGCAAAGGCATGTGTGGGGCAGGCAGCTGCTCACTTGAGGGTCTACCCGCCTGGCCACAGCCGTCCAAGGGGTCACAGGAGGACGAGGGGTGGTGCCCAAAGGGAATCCTCCGCCATGGCTGGCGCTCGTTCCTAAGCCAGCCCAGATTTCCAAAAAGAAGAAATAAAAGGAGTAGCGAAGAGCCGCAAGGAAAGCTGCTGGCGTGGTCCAGCAGTGGCTTTCTGAGAGAGAGAAGAGATGCAGAGACAGAGAGCACAGAAGAGAGAGAAAGAGAGAGAGAGAGAGAGAGAGAGAGAGAGAGAGAGAGAGAGAGAGAGCAGGGCAGGGAACTGGCTGACAGGCAAGCATCTTTGGTGAGGGCTTTCTTCGAGCCTGTCCCACAGGGTGGGCATGCAAGGTTCGGTGCGGACAGCTCCCTTTTCCCACTGCCCTGAACCTCTTAAATCTGTGGCTAGGCGCTTCAGGCCCGTCCCTCTTTCCAATACTCCATCCACCCAGATCCCATTCCCATCCTGCCTGCCCTCGTGACCTTCTCAGACCTGACGAAAAAGGGGAGGGCAAGGGGCGGAGCTGGCCAGTAATGGGACAGGGAGCCACAGTAGAGGGCTGAAAGAGCCACATGAGTCTCCAGAGCTGTGGTTTGCCAGCACCCACACTAGCCTGTGGGTTAGGCATGTCTCCAAAACCACAGAAGGCATGCTTGACTATTTTTGTAACTTTTATATTTTTAAAAAATTTCTATATCTTATCTGTCGTGTGAGAGCTGCCTCTGACTGTATGTAATGAAGTGAAAGTGAAATTTTAAACATCTACCTTACACTCAGTTCTGGGTTCCTTCCTTTTTGTGGGCACCCATCTTTATTCAGACAATAAATGCATGGGCTTATCAACACACACACACACACACACACTTGGACTCTGTCTTTTATTTTATCGAGCCACACCTGTCAATCTGCATGACACTAGCCTTACAGATGTGGAGCTTTTAACTGCTGAAATTATGCCTAAAGCCTCTGCAAGATTTGAAGCACCAGTTTTGCCCATGGAAGTCCTGAGCTCCGAGTAAGGGCAGAAAATACTTTCCACAACCCCTTTGGTGACATCCCAATTGAAGTAGTCTTCACTTACTGACTGCAATTGGGACTAGCATCTGTGTCACTAAGCCGCCCGATCATAAAGCCTGATTTCAAATGATGGTGTCAACTTACATCTGTTCCTCTGCAGTTCTTAAAAAAAAATCATTGTGGGTTTTCCCCAGAAAACATAGGGTCCACTACAGAAAAATTGAGTTTTTTGGGGGGACCTTGGAGATCTTCTAGTTCAGGCAGGAGACCCTATTCCATTCCGAACAAACGGCTGTCCAATCTCCTCCGAAGACCCTCCAGTGACGGAGCCCCCACAACCTCTAGAGGGGAGCCATTCCCAAAGGACCCACCTTCGCTTGAAAGAGGCTTTTGAGATCTTCCCCCCAGCAGAGAATCGCAGCCACCAGTTTCACAGCGTGCAGCCCCAGCGGGCTCCGATCTGGGGAGGGAAGGAACCTGCAGCTGACACGCTTCAGCCCAGTTGCTTCTATGCTTCCAGGCCGCGGAGGGAACCGAACAGCCCGACTTGCTCCCGGACTCTCCTCCCACCTGCTGCCCCCAACTCACCTGCCAGCTGCTGCTTCCATCCTGGGAAGAGCACAGAAGCCGCTCTGGACACCACCTTCCTCCCACGAGCGATCCGGAAGAGGAAGTTCCTCTCTGCGCTTTTCCTCTCCTCCCTTCCTTTCTAGCATTGCAATACTATGTAGTTTAGAACTGCTTTTTTAAGCTCGAGCACGGATGGCAGTACTGGATTGATGTCTTTCTTGGCACAGATGTTGCCTGACCGCCATCTAGCGACAGGAGGTGGAAAAACACGCTTTATCAAGGCTCCACCATGGCGTTTGGAAGATGTTTTCACTGATTACGTGGCGTCAGATCGTGTTCGCCTCCTAGCAACTGACTTTTGCAACCGAGCCTAGTGAAATAGAGAATTTTGACGCTACTTAGCTCCGTTTTTTTGTGCCTTTGGGTCACTCTTGATGCCTGGCCTTGCACTTTCCTTGGCAACGGTTTTTGGAAGTGGCTCCCCCCCCCCCCCCCCGACTTTTCCTGCTTCCTAGGCCTGAGAGGACAGGTGGTTTTGCGCCCTTCAGGTGGGACTGAAACTGAGTGTTTCTCTGTCTCTAACCTGGTTTCTTCATCACTACACCAAACTGGATCTTCTTCCTCCCTACAATATCTGACTGTGGCTGGCTGACATTGGTGGGAAAGTCGGTGCCATATTCCAAAGCTGCAGTAGTCACAAGACTGGCTCTTTGGCCATCCCAGAGTAACTGCTCCTTCACCCAGGTGCACCGGCCTGCCATGGACTGAAGGAGCTCCAGAGCACCCTCCAAAGCAATTAATCCAGGCTGCATGGGAACACAAGGCTGCGCCGCCCACATGGCGTGCAGGAACCCTCCCCACCCACTTACTCCTTACCTGGCAAACTTGCCTAAGTTGCTATTTTTCCTTTTTTTCCCCCCCAACCGTCAGCCATTCTGCTGTGCCAGGAGGTTTAGATTAGCTAGAAAGCAGGAAACCATTGGCTTTCTAGCTAATCTTTAGATCTTCGGCTCTGCTTAAAACCTTCCTTAGAACTGAAGCTTCTATAATTCAGTGCAGACTCAGGTAGCCGATGGCAGAAAGGTAGATCTCTGAATGAATCTGTGATTGTGTGAGCAATTAAATCTGCCTGCCTGCTTTGCCTGATTTTGGGTAAAAGTTGCTCTTTTTAATAAAAATATCAATATTTACATCAATATTTATAATATTTACATACAAGCCATGCCCAGCCAGTCACATGGCCACCAATCCATACCCACAAATTAGGCCACATCCACAGAACCAGTTAAGAAATTTGAATCCCACCCATGCCTCTGTGTGTTTGTGTGTGTGTGAGAGAGAGGGAGGGTTTAGATCAGATCTCTCTCCCACCAATGTCAGCAAGCCACCATCAATCAAAATTCCTATTAGTGGTCTGCAGGATTTAAAATTATGAATTTGGTGATCCCTGAGGTCCAAAAGGTTGGTGACCCCTGCCGTAGACCATCCCCTGTGACTCTTAGTTGGCTTTATTTAATTTTGCTTGATATTGTTATATAGACTTGTAAGAGATTCAGAGGCTTTGGGATCATTGCAAGCATTTCCAATTCCTAACTACAATGAGACATGATAAAGATGGTGCACTAAAATGTCACACCAAGGAAAGAACGAAAGTTGATTAAATATATATTTTACTATTTTAGTGTGGTGCAGTGAACAAGAAGTGGAGCTCTCACTTCACAATCAGGAGGTGTGACTTCAATCCTAGGTAGAGGCAGATATTTCCCAACACCACCCCGCAACACATAAACATATACTATTTTAAATTTTAGAAATTTTGCATATGTTTAAATGTTTCAATTCTAAATCATTTGCAAGTGAAGATCACAGCAGTAGTTGTCAATAAAGCTGGAGATCCTGTGGTCAAAACCACAATCCCTTTTCTCCTCAACTCAATATTCCTACAGCTCTTCTCCAATGAAGACCACCTGCAAGGCACAACAGCTTTTACATCTGAAATTTTACCCTGGTTTTCTCACTGCCCCAAACTCCCCCAATATATTTGCTATTCATATGGTAACTTCCACTGGTGTGCCTCATTCTTGACACAATCTGAACAGACATGCTTGGTGTGCTGAATTCTTGAAACTGTTTGGAAAAGATAAACTTTGAAATCCTTCGGCTTCTTCTTTCGCTTTCTCATTAAATGAGGAGCCACAATCTCTAACTATAGTCTGAGTGCTCCTGTCCCCAAGAGATGCTGGCTGGAGAATTCTGGGACTGAAAATCTCAGGGAAGGCAAGGAAGAAAAAGGCTGGGACTCTGTTTGTGGTATTTCTATCAACCATGATAAAAATGCAAAGAACACTCCCAAAATATTTTTACATAATTGCACAATTTCTGCAAAAATAAATATCCAGCAATTTCTGCTGCTGATGGCCAAATAGCCATTATCAAACTAATATGTTGCAATTTCTTTTCTCCTTCCCATCTAATATCATTAAATAAAGGTAAAAGGTTCCACTTGCACATATGTGCTAGTCGTTTCCGGCTCTAGGGGGCGGTGCTCCTCTCGTTAAGAGCCAGCGCTGTCCAAAGATGTCTCCATGGTCATGTGGCCAGCATGACTAAACACAGGTGTACAGAATATTTTTACCTTCCCACTAAAGTGGTCCCTATTTTTCTATTTTTCTTGCATTTTTACATGCTTTTGAACTGCTAGGTTGGCAGAAGCTGAGACAAGTAACGGGAGCTCATTCCATTATGTGGTGCTAGGGATTCAAACTACTGAATTGCTGACCTTTATGATTGACAAGCTCAGTGTCTTAGCCACTGAGCCACCACATCCTTCTTACATATTTGCCTACAAAAAAAATCAGGCAAATTCTTTGCAGTCAAATAAGTCAGTTTCTCAGCTGGACTTATAATGGGACATTAGAAATGAAATTAGAAATAGAAGATAAAAATAGAAAAAGGAGTCAGACAGGGCTGCCCACTCTCACCCCTGCTCTTCATATTATCACTAGAAGCATTATTAACGTGAATTAGACAGAACCCAGACATAAAAGGATTAAAGGTTAAGAAAGAAGAATATAAGTTGCAAGCGTTTGTGGATGATATGATTTTTTTTCAATGAAGAACCAACAGAAAGAGGATAAAAATTGATGAATGAATTAGAACAATTTGGAGCAGTAGCAGGACTAAAAATTAATAGGAAGAAAATGAAATTAATGACTAAAAATTTAACAGGAAAACAGAAATTAGAACTAGAAGAAGTTATGGGACTACAAGTGATAAAGAAAGCTAAATATTTAGGAATATGGTTGATAGCACATTGTAAGACACAAAAGGAAAACAATTATGACAAATTAATGCAACAGGTAAAGAAGGATTTAGAAACATGGGGCAAACTGCAACTTCCACTATTAGGCAGGATTGCTGCTATTAAAATGAATATTCTTCCAAAATTCCTCTATATATTTCAGACGATTCCAATTAAAGTACACAAAAAGTTTTTTGAAGAACACAAGATAACTGCAAAATTCATCTGGCAAGGGAAAAAACCTAGAATAAATTTAAAGGCAATGCAAGATATGAAGAGCAGGAGAGGGCTGGCACTCCCAAATTGGGAGTTGTGTTATAGTGCGGCCTCTTTAGTATGGTTGAAGGAATGGGTGAATTTAACCAATAAGAGAATATTACTCTTAGAAGGCCATGACTTACAGAGGGGGTGGCATGCTTTTTTATGGGATATTGGGAAAACTAGCCAGAAATATTTTCACAGACACCTAATCAGAGATTCATTACTGACCAATTGGAAGAAAATACAGAACAAACACTATTTAAAGATGCCAATCTGGATCTCAACAATGGAGGCAATGATCCACCCAAATAATCTGGATATTACTAAAACGATTAAATATAAGGATACGCAAGGAAATCTGAAAGTGTGGCAAGACCTTCAAGATCAGGGATTAAAAATTGATCGGTGGGCATATCTTCAAATTCAAAGCAGACACAAACAGGACAAGAAAGAATTTGGAATTAATAATAAACTCCAGCAATTAGATAAAATTTTATTAGGATTAGGCAAAAAAAAATAACAAAATTTTATAATTATTTATTAGAGGTAGAATTAGCAGAAGAAATTGTTAAAGGAAACATTATAGCCTAGAGTAGGAATATAGGACGTAGTATCACCTTAACAGAATGGGAAAAGGTCTGGGGTAGAAATAATAAAATCACAAAATCGGTAGCGTACAAAGAAAATTCCTATAAAATGTTTTACAGGTGGCACCTTCCTCCTTCAAGATCAGCGAAGATACACCCCAATATGAGTCAATCTGCTGGAAATGCAAAAAAAAAGAGGGAATTGTCTTCCATATGTGGTGTTCTTGTACAGAAGCTCAAAAATATTGGCAGAAAATTAGAAATTGGCTGGAGCAAATGACAAGAGAACAGATCGAATTTAAACCAGAGTACTTTCTATTAGGGATCTTTGATAAAAAAAAAAAAAAACTACCCCAAAAAGTGAAATATATAATAATACATATTTTGACAGCGGCCAGACTGGCTTTTGCACAATGTTGGAAACAGCCTCATATTCCATCAGAGGAAATGATTATTCAAAAAATTTCAAGTTGTGCAGAAATGGACAAATTAACCTTGGCATTAAAAGATAGACACTTCAATATATTACGACAGCTGGAACTGCTGGTACAAATGGATAGACCAAAGACAGTTTTCACACTAAAAGGCAAAAGAATATGATAGAATCGTAGTAGTGATATATATATATATATATGTAAGAATTGTGTATATGGCACAAAATAAGGATAAAAAGGAGGTCTCACAAACTGTTGAAGATGGAAATGTTTTTAATTGTTTTCTGTCTTTTTCTTGCTTTTTTTTCCCTTTTCTCTCTTACATTTATGTGTGTTGTTGGTCTATTTTAATTGTAAAATCAATAAACTGTATTTAAAAAAAGAAATGAAATTTATGCCTTCCCTATACTCATCACTTTGGGTCTCAGGTGGGTTTTCTTGTGTGCAATAAGGGCGGAATGTTTCCTGAAGGACCGTCCACACTTGGGGCACTTAAACGGTTTCTCCCCTGTGTGTATAAGCATATGATTTAGAAGGTTAACCCTAGTACTGAGATCTTTCCCACAGTCTGGACACTCATAAGGTTTCTCTCCTGTGTGAGTTCTCTGGTGTCTCACCAGGCTGGAATTATGACTGAAACTTCTCCCACAATCAGGACATTTAAAGGGTTTCACTCCTGTGTGAGTCCTCTGGTGTATCACGAGCTGGGAATTCTGAGAGAAACTTTTTCCACAATCAGAACATTCAAAGGGTTTCTCTCCTGTGTGAG